TTTAAGATTTAAAAAAAAATGAGAAATGTGTTTTGTACGGTTATTGTAACATTTATTTCCATTTGGCACTTAGTCTGTTTGTGTGACAATAATAGTAATAACATTTATTTTCAAGGCAGAAAAGAGGGTTTGTAAGCTCACGTTATTATTTTTCCTCTGAAAACTTCCTTTCTAGAAGTTTTTGAGATCCACACATTGATATGAGACCTCTTTCCTATCCCATTTACCTAGTCAGAAGTCATGCATTTTTAGAGTATTGACTGGAGCAAGAGCAGTGAAGACTACAACAAGGGCTAACCTGGAGTCACTGTGTGCATAATGTGTGCCAGGTACTTGCCTAAGACTCTGAAAGGGTGAACTGCTATATCTAATTTTAACAGAGGGAGATGTCTTCTGGAGATCTAGTGGGCCACTTGAAGAGGTTGACAAAGGCAGAAATAGTCACTGAGATGATTGTGTATGGAAGGGGGTGACCTGTTCTTCTGTTTCATGGAATCAGTGACATGGAGCATGGCATCAGTTCCATCCAGAAGACTTTTGACTAACACAGAAATAAGATGAAAGTCATGTCTTAACATAACATATACCTTCCAAATGGAGGTGGATGGTGGCAGGAGGTAGAATGCATACAGGAGGGCACCGTCAATGTAGCCAGGACAATAGACGACTCCTGTCTAGACTTAGGAGCTTCAGATGGAAAGGGACAGAAGTAAATGTCTCATGATGTATTTCAGAGGTAGAATTCGCAAGACTTTTAGCAAATTGCAAAAAAAGATTATGGGATAATTAAAATAATGGTTAAATCTTAGGTTATTAATCAGGATACTTAGGGAAAACATGGCCTCACACAGTTGAAGATGATAGAGTCTTGGGAACTAGCTGGCTCATGGGTGAGGAAATGGAAGATTCTATTCTTATTTTGCCATTTGAAGAACTGATGCTCTGGCCCAGAATAAAGAAGACAAAACTAGAAGCATTGACCTTTCTTTATCCAACGTTGTTAGGCAGGAAGAGAGCAAATGTTGGAGTAAGAGCAGGCTAGGGCTTGACTGTTTTCAAGTCATGTGACTTAAAAAGCTGTTTAGTCATTTTCCACTGATACTTCATTTTCCTACTCTCTAAAGGAGAGTTCATATTGCCTGTTCTGCACGATTTTCTACACAATGTATGACTAGCCCTTCATACATCAGGCACAGAGTAATTCCTTTACCTAAGAATTACTTGTGATCCTTTGAATGGTCCTCTCGAGTTAGAGCTGGTGACGCTCTAACCCTTGCTTGTGAGGGTCTTCTGCATCCTTTTCCTAGGTGACAGGGTCTGCCATGGATAGAGAACTAGCAGAAGGCAGCAGTGCTCCCACTATATGTGCCACCTATTACCTGAGTTGCTGGGGGGGAGGGTTCTATTCTTTACTCGAAGACATTGTTTCTTCCTGAAATCCTCAGGACCCTGTAGATCATAAAATGTTTAGGGCATGTTTGTCAATGACGGACAGTTACAGTGTGATGACTGAGAGCACTGATTCTCCATGGCTACCTGTGGTGGACTCTCATCTCTGTCCTTTATAAGCTGCATAACCTTAGAGAAGCAACTCACTGGGCTGTGATCAAGTCCCTACAACCCTGAGACTGAGACCTTGGAATTTCATACATCATAGGATTTTCTGTGTTAATGGAACACTCACGAACTCACAAACTCACAACACACAAACTCACACATAATACACATAAACACACAAACACATGCACACACAAACTCACAACACACACACACATACATACACACACACACACACACACACACACAC